AAAATCAAATGAATTTGATGCTTGTATGGTACCACTATTGCTTGTATGTTTGAAATGATCTAGTGGTAGCATATGACATGTTTATGGGCTTGTAAACCTAGTATTTGATCTATAAAATGAGCTATAAGTGTTTAACTCAACATGGTACAAGATAACCCTTATTTAGAGGTGTGAAGAAGCTTGTCCTTGGATCAAACCGAGTTAAATATCTTTTGCAAGTAATCTAGATTGAACCAAATTGGAAAAATGATCCTCATCTCACATGGTTTTACCCCAACCTATCTATAATTTGAGCTCACCTTTTGTGCTAATTGTTGACAAAGGGGAAGAGAAACAAAGATATGAAACAAAGATATGCGTGATAGGGGAGTATTTGACATAGGGGGAGAGATATGAGATGCGTGATAGGGGAGTATTTGACATAGGGGGAGAGATATGAGATATATGATAAAGGAAAGGGATCAATTAAAATTTTGAGCACACAAGTAGGGGGAGCAAGCTCATAAACTTGTATGTTACATTTGAATGTGCATTTCATACATTTTCTTGCATGGCACAAGTTTTAAAATCTCAATATCCATGCTTGTGTGGTGTATGCTAGTTATATGGTTAAATGATGAAATGAAAAACTAGCATGCATAGGTAATCTAGTGACTTTATTTCCAAGTGGTATCAAACTAAAGTAACTAGACTTATGTTCATCATATAGAAACTAGACCCTTGCTTGTAATATTGATCTCATGAGGTATTCTAGTGTTTGTGAATGTCTAGTTACAAATGGTGCTAAGGATGGTATATTGGTGCACTCCGATTGGTATCACGCTTCAAAGGTCCATCTCTTATACCTTAGCATCATTTGGTAGAAATTGTCTCCTATATTTCCTATCTAAGCATATGTGCAAGCTACAATTCAAACTCTTAGCACATATGTAGGGGGAGCAATTGCTACCATGTGGGATTCATGAAATTTGTCCATATTCTTTTACACATGGTAAATATGCTTGGGCAAGCAACATGGATTCATCTAAAATTCAATTCATATCTTTGTGAAAGGGTTGTCATCAATTACCAAAAAGGGGGAGATTAAAAGCTCTAGTTTGGTTTTGATTAATTGATGAAACACTAAGTGCTAACCTAGTTTATCAAAGTGATTATGAGATAGGTAGCACTACTCCAAGTGATGAAGCAATGGCGAAGATCATGACGACCATGATGGCATGGTGATGATCAAATGCTTAAACTTAGAAAAGAAGAAAGAGAAAAACAAAAGGGTCAAGGCAAAGGTATAAATTGTAGGAGCTATTTTGTTTTAGTGATCGAGACACTTAGCGAGTGTGATTACATTTAGGATTGACAGCTGTACTATTAAGAGGGGTGAAACTCGTATCGAAATGCGGTTATCAAAGTGCCACTAGATGCTCTAACTCATTGCATATGCATTTAGGATCTAGTGGTATGCTAACACCCTTGAAAATGTTTGTGAAAATATGCTAACACTTGTGCACAAGGTGATACACTTGGTGGTTGGCACATTTGATCAAGGGTGGTGAAGTTTGGGTGCAAGAGTAAGAAACTCCACCGGCGGAGTGTCCGCCCGTAGAGTGCAGACAGTCCGACGGTGCCACCGACGCCCTAGACAGAGAAGACGAAGGTCACTGTATGTGACCGGACGTTGGTCTCGGTTGGACCGGAGCATCCGGTCAGTGGCAGCAGAGGACGTGTGTTTCGGTCTTCGACCGGACGCTGGCTGGGTGCGTCCGGTCAGTGCTGACGTGAGGCGCACAGAGGAGACATTGTGTGACCAGACACTGGGTGCGTCCGGTCGGGCATGACCGGACATGTCCGGTCGTGAAATCTCGCGTTTGGAACCTTACTGGAAACGACCGGACGCTGGGGTCCAGCGTCCGGTCACTTTCTAATAGACGCGTCTGGTCATCTCTTGACTGTTGAGATCGGGCGATCGGCGTTTGAAGCCGATGACATGTGGCGAAGATCTGAGGACCGGACGCTAGGGTCCTGCGTTCGGTCAATATGACCGGAGCGTCCGGTCGTCCCGTGTTCAGCCCAGTGAAGGGGTACAACGGCTCTATTTCGTGGGGGCTTCTATTTAAGCCCCATGGCCGGCTCAAGCTCTAACTCTTGCACATTTTTATGAACATAGCATACTTATGAGCTTAGCCAAAGCCCTCCCACTCGTCTCCATCATTGATCCATCATCATTGTGAGATTAGGAGAGAATCCAAGTGCATTGCTTAAGTGATTGCATCTAGAGGCACTTGGCATTCGTGTTTGCGCTATGGATTTCACTTGTTTCTCTTGGTGGTTGCCACCACCTAGACGGTTGGAGCAGCGGTGGAGGATTGGCACGAGTTGGTGATTGTTCGTGACCATCTCCGGAGATTGTAAGGGGAGTTGTACCTTCCTCGGCAGAGTGCCAAAAGGTAACTCTAGTAAATTGCTCGTGTTCTTGTGGGTCGGTTCTTGTGGTGTCCTATCGTGTGGATGAGGTTTGTGAAACACCTCTTAGCCGCCGAACCACCAAGTGTTGGTTGACACAACGGGGACGTAGCGTGTTGGCAAGCACGTGAACCTCAGGAGAAAATCGATTGCCTCTTGTCTTTGGCATTCTCCCGGTGATTGACTATATATTCATCTTGTGATTGGTTCATCCCCTACACGGCGGTATAATCACCCTACTCACTTATTTACATTCTTGCAAACTAGTTGATACAAGCTCTTTAGTGTAATTAGATTTGAGAGCTTGCTTTATTATTTACATTCATCTAGTTGAGCTCTTTAGAGTAACAAGATTGAGAGCTCATAGTGAATAGTTACATAGCAAGTTTGTGTGCCTAAGTAATCATTGCAACTAGAATTGTTGGATAGGTGGCTTGCAACCCTTGTAGAGCTAGAGCAAGTTTTCATTACGCTATTTGTCATACTAATCAAATTGCTCTAGTTGATTTGTAGATTTTTAAATAGGCTATTCACCCCTCCTCTAGCCATATTAGGACCTTTCAGCATGTCTCGGGAGAAATTCGTAGGATCGGTTACCCCTATGTTGAAGCCAAGCGGATCTCCAGCCTTGCCCCATCAAGCAGATCCATCCAGCTTGTCGTGTGCCAACACGTTTTTCATGTCGACACATGTTTTGGCATGCCTGGTGGGACCCCACAATCATCATGGTGTCTCACAATAACAATGACATCCTTATGGTGCCTTATGAAGACCTACCTGATGGAGATAAAGATATCATCGGCAAAGCTATAGAAGAATTTCAGAACAAGTGTTTGTTGTCCTACACTAAGACATGTGACAATACAATTGTTTAGAAATATCCACTACCAAGAATTCTGTTGCATGGGCAGACAGATGCAGATGAAGCTAAAGACAGGCGTTTCTTCGTAGAGGCTATAAACAAGTCTGTTCATAATGCCATGTCGAATCATAATGAAGTTTTCTTGAACACATTCCACAACACCATTAAAGAGGTATTTCATGGGTTTCCTGTTGATCAGGTTGGGCTGGCTTATTACAACATTCCACATCCGTCGACTTAGGGGACTAATCAAGCTGGTACTAGCCATCAAGAAGCAGCACCAGCTGGTAATGATGATGTCCAGGTGGTTTAGAGCTCATCTGAGTAAGTTTAGGGGGATACTACTAATCAGATACAGTATAATCCTAGATCGTCAGAACAGCATGTGCAACAGCCAACGGGGAAAGTTCAAAATCAAATGGTCAATTTTGGCACATCAGGTCAGATACCGTCATCGGCTCAAAAAATAGCGCCATCAGTTCAAAGGATTCGTAGAGATATAGATCCTAACATCTATAACCAGAGACTTCAAGCAGCGAACCAGCAAAGGACCTAGCAGATGGAGATTCCACAAGGGTATTATTATGGCACATATTACAATACCCTTCAAATGATTTCAAATCCAGGGTATTAAAGTACCCAAACTTTTAATCCACAGATGGGTCAGCAATTGCAAAAAAATCCAAATTCAAATGCCGATGAGTTGTTGCTTAGAGTGACCGAGATGATAAAGAATCAGTTCCATTTGAAGCCAAAAGGGCAAACCTTCTCGTACAAATGCCCATATCCAGAATGGTATGGTTTGATCGCTCTTCCTGCAAATTATAGGCTCCCAGAGTTTGCTAAGTTCACTAGCCAAGATGACACAAGCATAATAGAACATGTCAGTTGGTATCTTACATAGTTGGGCGAAGCATCCATTGAAGTGGCCCATCGAGTTCGTTTCTTCTCTTTGGCCCAAGCCTCCCGGCGACGGGCCTTGCTTCGCTCCGTCAGAAGTTAGCCTTTATCTTGTACATAACTGAATATGGATCACAACTCAACAAACTCCACCTAGAGACAAATTCCTTCTTATAGCATAAAACGAACCTTCACCCTGAAACAACAAAGAAATACTTTCGGTGCCAAATAGCCTCTTGGGCTAAACAGTTATACCAACTAAGCTTGAGCAAAGCTCAAACTTAGCAACAGGAACTGGCTTTGTCAACATATCAGAAGGATTATCATGTGTACTTATCTTGCATACCTTCAGCTTACCTTGCGCGACAACATCGTGAACATAATGGTATTTGACATCAATGTGCTTCGTTCTCTCATGGAACATCTGATCTTTAGTGAGACATATAGCACTTTGACTGTCACAAAACAAATTAATGCAAGAATCATCTCTATAAAGCTCAGCAAACAAACCTTTCAACCAAACTGATTCTTTACATGCTTCAGCAACAGCCATGTATTCTGCTTCAGTGGTAGACAGGGTAACAACGGGCTGCAATGTTGCCCTCTAACTCATAGCACAACCACCAATAGTGAACACATAACCTGTGAGAGATCTCCTCTTATCCAAATCGGCAGCAAAATCTGAATCCACGTAGCTAGTGAGTCCCTTACTAGTCTTGCCAAACTTCAAACAAGCATTTATTGTGCCACGAAGGTACCTGAAAATCCACTGAATAGCCTTTCAATGTTCTTTAGCAGGATTAGCCATGTATCTACTAACTAAACTCATAGCATATGATAAATCAGGACGAGAGCAAACCATGGCATACATCAAAGAACCAACAACACTAGAATATGGAACTCTTGACATGTACTCAAAATCCTCATCCGTACTAGCACATTGTAAAGCTAATAATTTAAAATGAGGAGCAATAGGAGTACTAACAGACTTTGCATCATGCATGTTGAAACGATAAAGAACTTTCTTAATGTAACTTTGCTGACTAAGAAATAACAAACCAGAATTTTTGTCTCTTGTAATCTCCATACCTAGAATTTTCTTAGCAGCACCAAGATCCTTCATCTCAAACTCACTACTCAACAGTTCTTCAATGTAGTGATTTCTTTTTTGCTCTTGGCAGCAATCAACATATCATCAACATATAATAGCATGTATATAGGTGATCCATAAACAAATTTAATGTACACACAACTATCAAATTCAGACCTCTTAAAACCATATGACATCATAAAAGAATTAAACCTTTTATACCATTGACGAGGAGACTGTTTCAAACCATATAAGGACCTCTTTAATTTGCAAACATGATCCTCCTTACCAGGTACTATGAACTCTTCTGGCTAGTCCATGTATATCTCCTCCTCGAGCTCTCCATGTAGAAACACAGTCTTTACATCTAACCGCTCAAGCTCAAGATCTCGCATAGCAACAATATCGAAAAATGTATGAATTAAACTATGCTTTACAACTGGAGAGAACACATCATTATAATCAACACCAGGAATCTGACTGAAACATTTTGCTACTAACCTTGCCTTAAATCTTGGAGGCTCACTAGGAGATAAACCCTCCTTTCTCTTGAAGATCCATTTGCAACGAACGACCTTCTTTTGTTCAGGCAAGCGCACAACATCCCATGTGCCATTTTTCTCGAGTGACTGCATCTCCTCTTGCATGGTGGAAATCCACTTCTCGCGGTCACCAGAAACAACAGCTTTAGTGTACGTAGTCGGCTCATGAATGTTCTCCACCTGTTCAGCACAACTAAAAGCATAATGAACCATATCACATTCCTCAGTTAAATGTGGACGAGGTCCATAATTTCTCTTTGTTCTGCGATCTGCAATAGACTGATTTTGAGGCTGCAAAACAGGAGGTAAGTGTTGAACAATATCATGAATATTGTTATCAACAATTTCAGTTTCCTGATCATCTACGTGCTCCACTTGCATGCTAACATGTTGCTGCTCCTCATCAGAACCAACTAGAGAAATATCTGTGGATAAGCTGTCATTAAACATAACAGATTCATTGAAAACAACGCTTCTACTCATGAAAGTCTTTTTAGTTTTAGGATTCCATAACTTATATCATTTAACTCCAGAACCATAACCAAGAAACATACACTTAATGGCTCTAGGTTCTAGCTTTCCATTATCAATATGAGCAAAAGCAGTGCAACCGAAAACTCTCAGCTGTGAATAATCAGCAGGCATACCAGACCATACTTCAATGGGAGTTTTCTTATTAAGTGGGATAGAAGGTGATCGGTTGATCAAGTAACAAGCGGTGTTAGCAACCTCAGCCCAAAAACGCCTGTTCATACGAGCATTGGACAGCATGCAACGAGCCCTCAAGATGATGGTTCGGTTCATGCGCTCAGCCATACCATTTTGCTGAGGAGTGTACGGGATGGCGTGGTGCCTGACAATGCCTTCTTCCCTGCAGTAATCATTAAAAGCATCTGAACAGAATTCACCGCCATTGTCAGTACGAAGCAATTTTACCTTCTTTTCAGTTTACCTTTCTATCATAACTTTCCATTCTTTAAAAGCAGCAAAAGTATCATCTTTATTTTTCAGAAAATAAGGCCACACTTTTCTAGAGTAATCATCAATAATGATAAGCATGTAACGAGCACCACAATAGGTGGGCTTACGAGACAGCCCCCACAAATCAGCATGTACATAATCAAGTGTACCTGTGGTGATATGAATATATGCATTGAATTTTACCCTCTTGTGCTTACCAAAAACATAGTGTTCATAGAACTTCATCTTACCCACAATGCAGCCATCCAGCAGGTCTCTCTTGATCAATTCTGCCATACTAAGTTCACTCATATGCCCAAGACGCATATGCCAGAGATTAGTCTTACTTGGTTCATCATTAGAAATAGTAGCAACAGTGACGGAACCATGTAAAGTACTTCCTCTAAGAACATATAACTTTGCAGAATTCATATCACCTATCATATGAATGAGAGAGTCTTTTGATACCTTACACACTTCACCTGAACCGGAGTGTTTGTACCCCTCGATATCAAGTGTGCTGAGGGAGATGAGATTTTCTGGCCATCCCTGGTATGTGTCTCACATCTTTCAGTGTGCGTATCATGCCATCATGCATCTTGATCTGAACGGAGCCAATGCCCACGATCTCACGTGGGTTGTTATCTCCCATACGCACAACATCTCCACTCTGCACAAACTCGTAAGAACTAAACCAATCTCTGTTAGAGCATATATGAAATGAGCATGCAGAATCAAGTATCCATTCATCACGACCAGCAACACAACCAGCAAAAGCAACAAGAACATGTCCTAAATCAGAATTATCAACATCGGAGACAACAGAGGCCTTACCATCACCATCGGATTTATTTTTTGGTTTATACGTACCATTTCTTTTCTCCTTATTCTGCAGCTTACAACAATCATCAATGACATGAGTATCTTTCTTACAATACCTGTAGAACTTATCCCTGCCTCTGGACTTCGAACGGCCTTTACCGTTCCTGCTCTTGTCTCAATTATTGTTGTTGTAGATTTTCTGCTCGAGCCTACCTCTAACCTGCAACACTTCGCCCTTGGAGGACGACACGTCAGACTGAACCATACCTTTCATCTTCTCCCTCATCTGGAGAGCCTCATATACTTTTGCAAGGGTTAGTTCATCACGGCTTAATAGTATGGTATCTCGGAAATTTGTAAACGAACTAGGCAGTGAGCATAACAGTAGAAGAGCTAAATCTTTATCAACATATTTTATCTCCATCGACATTAGGTCGGCAACGATCTCCTTAAAGATCGATAAGTGGTTCATCACCGAACCTCCTTCTTGTAGCTTGTGCGTGAACAACTTCATCTTCACGTGCATCTTACTGGTTAGATCCTTGGACATGCAGATCGATTCCAGCTTAAGCCAGAGTTCTACGACAGTTTTCTCCTGTAGCACTTCTTGCAAAATATCATTATATAGATGAAGTTGAATCAGAGACAGAGCCTTACGATCCTTCCTCTTCTCTTCAGCGGTCCATGACTTCTGCCCTTTGTCTCCGAAACCATCCAGCGCCTCATCAAGATCCGAAGATTGTGCCAGAATCGCCCGCATCTTGACTTGACACAGCGCAAATCTCGTCTTGTAATCCAGCAGCGGTAGATCAAACTTCATCGATGCCATTGCAAAACTCTAATGTGAAACCAAGCTCTGGTACCACTTGTTAGAAACGATAGGCAATATAAACGACGAAGAACAGTAGATGAAACACAGGGGACACGAGATTTTAACGTGGAAAACCCTCCCAAGGTAAAAGGAAAAAACCACGGGCACCAGCCAGCAAATCTTCACTATATAGGGTGAGGTTACAAACGTAAGGGATTTATAACTTTTCTTATCCCAAGACGATGGTTTACAGGAAGTATATATAGAGATGGAAAAACCCTATTAAGCGATGATCCGTACTACTTCGCTTCGGCCCAAGCCTTCTGGTGATGGGCCTCGCTTCGCTCCATCAGAAGTTAGCCTTTATCTTGTACATAACTGAATTTGGATCACAACTCAACAATGAAGACCTACCTGATGCAGATAAAGATATCATCAGCAAAGCTATAAAAGAATTTCAGAACAAGTGTTTGTTGTCCTACACCAAGACACGTGACAATACAATTGTTCAGAAATATCCACTATCGAGAGTTTTGTTGCATGGGCAGACAAATACAGATGAAGCTAAAGACAGACGTTTCTTCTTAGAGGCTGTAAACAAGTCTGTTGATTATGCCACGTCGAATCATAATGGTGGTGGACGAAGAATAGTGTAATAATGGTGGTGGTGCTAGGGCGGTGGTTAAGGGCCCAAAGCGATGAACAAATGGGTTGGGCTGGGTGTATGTATCTATCACACGCAACTTTGTGCAAAAACTATTACTATAATAGTAGTACATTTCTCGTCTCTCCGATTTTCGTACAGAAAACACCAGCACGAGCGATGATTGCTCAATCATTCATAATCATCTCTGCCGATCCCGTATTTCCTCCGCCTAGACTTTTTCAGACCGGGAAATCGAGAATGAGAATTGAGAAGCAATCAACTCCTCTTTCCGCAGAAGAATTATGCCCCCATGTGGCCCACCTGCTCCATAATGGAACCGCATTATCGCGCCGCGGTCGGCACATAGTCATCTTCTGGGCCAGATGGGCTGGGTCCCGGTCCCGTGCCCGTGCCCGTCGCCGTGTCACGCGTCGTCCACCCCCGGGTCGCTGTTGCGGACGCCACATGGACCGGCCGCAGTGGAGACGCATGCCACCCGCCTTCCTCCTATCCTCTCCCTCCGCTCGAGGCGCGCCGTTGGCCGGCCGGCCAACCGCTCGTCTTTTTCCACGTGGTTGCCATCGCAGTCGTAGCCCTGACCGGCGCCGGCTGCTGGCCGCAGACTTGGTCTCCCCTGATCCGTGATCGTCCCTCGTTAATTAATTATTAGCACGCTGATAGATTGTTGCTGATGGTTGGCGAGTTGTGCTGTTCCTCGTCGATGACGATGCGTCGAGAGGCTTGCTGATTCGGCTGCTCGATGCGCTGCATGGCAGCGGTCAGTGCCGCGCATTCATTGAATAGGTAGCTTGTTGCTTCTTGTTTTCTCTGGGTGCTGCAGTTTTTTATTCAACTGGCGCATGGCAGCAGCGACTAACAACTGTTTACAGTCCGTACAGACTGTAAACTTTTTACCTGAGTTGTTTTATCTATGTGTAAAATTGTTGGCTAGTATTTTGGTGCAATGTTTTCGAGGGTTCACACTGATAAGGCGGGTGCATCATAATAATCGCCAATTATTTTCAGGTACCGCCAAGATGACGGATCATTCTACTTCCAGGTTTGACGTGGAAGCGTCTCCATATGGTGAAGTCTCCACCTTTTCAACGGTCTGTTCCTTCATTGGTTTTAGCCTAGCTTATCAGCCAGTTGATTAGGTTGGGTCGGCTTATTACAACATTTCACATCCATCGATTTAGGGGACTAATCAAGCCCGTACTAGCCATCAAGAAGCAGCACCAGCGGGTAATGATGATGTACAGGTGGTTCAGAGCTCATCTGAGCAAATTCAGGGGCTACTACTAATTAGATACAGTATAATCCTGGATCGTCAGAACAGCATGTGCAACAGCCGATGGGGCAAGTTCAAAATCAAATGGTCAATTTTGGCACATCAGGCCAGATACCGTTGTCGGCTAAAAAAATAGCGCCATCAGTTCAAAGGATTTGTAGAGATATAGATCATAACATTTATAACCAAAGACTTCAAGCAGCAAACCAGTAAAGGACTCAGTAGATGGAGATTCCATAAGGGTATCATTATGTCACAAATTACAATACCCTTCACATGATTCCAAATCCAGGGTATCAAGGTACCCAAAATTTTAATCCACAGATGGGTCAGCAATTGCAAAGAAATCCAAATTCAAATGCTGATAAGTTGTTGCTTAGAGTGACCGAGACGATGAAGAATCAGTTATGTTTGAAGCCGAAAGGGCAGACCTTCTCGTACAAAGGCTCATATCCAGAATGGTATAATTTGGTCCCTCTTCTTACAAATTAAAGGCTCTAGAAGTTTGCTAAGTTCACTGGCCAAGATGGCACAAGCACAATAGAACATGTCAGTTAGTATCTTACACAGTTGGGCGAAGCATCCATTGAAGAGGCACATCGAATTCGTTTCTTCTCTTTGTCCCTATCGGGGCCAGCCTTCACTTGGTTTTAATCACTACCAATTAACTACATTGCTAATTGGGCTGACCTAGAGAAGAAGTTTCATACATATTTTTATACTGGGACATGAGAAAAGAAGATTACCAATTTGACAACTATAAGACAGAGAGCTAATGACTCAGGCACCGAGTTTCTTTAGAGGTTCTGAAAGATTAGAAATTTGTGCTTCTCATTGAACTTGACCGATGATCAACTTGCTGCTTTAGTCGTTCAAGGAATGTTGTCAACATGGAGAGAGAAGCTGGTGGGACAAGAATTTGACAACCTAGGTTAGCTAGCTCAACGAGTGGCGGCGCTTAATAGCCAATTCTAGAATATGCGCAGAGATACCCGATTCCAGAAAAGTACCATTATGGTCGAAGCCTATAATCCATATTCAGTCGATGACGACTATGAGGATGAAGAAGAAGAAGAGGTTGCTACGGCTGATTGGAATTGGGGTAAGAAGACAGTAATGGTGCCAAATCCTTTTGAAAGAGGAGTCGAAGAGAGCTATGACTTCGACGTCATAAAATCAGAAAAGCTCTTCGATTTCTTGCTTAAGAAAGGACATATTAAGTTGTCTGATAATTATGTTATGTTGCCTCCCGATCAGTTAAAGAATAAGAAGTTCTGCAAATTTTACAATGCCACTTCTCATTCTACTAATGAGTGCAGAGTTTTCCAGCAGCATATACAGAGAGCTATTCAGCAAGGAAGACTTAAATTTGATACACCTCGAAAGATGAAAGTTGATGATAATCCTTTCCGAAGAGATCAGAACATGATTGATGCCAGATTACTCAGAGGAAAGACTAAAGTCCTAACATCAACTAGATCAAGAGAAACTGGGACAGTCGATCCCGAGATACAAATATCGGCTGATGAATATAGAGAGATTAGAAAGCATCATGACCAACAAAAGAGCCGATATGAGCAGGGAGAAACGTCGAAGGATGGGGCGACAAGGTCGCGTGTTACATCTCGAATTTTATTAAATAAATGGCAGCGGCAGAAGAAAAAGAATTATCAGTGTTGGTTAAAAGAGCAAGAAAATCAGCGTCAACAGAAAAAAGAGAAGTATGAAAGAAAGCAAGCTGAATCCCATTGAAATTATCCTTTCTTCAGACATTGCTGGAACGAAGGTTTAAAATTATCTACCAGGAATAACTGTCCGAAATGCAGCGAGAAATATTGGGAGTTCAGGCAATCTCAAGCCAACCACCGGTCTATCCATGCTCGAGATGAGTATCATCATAATAACATGGATCGGCGCTTAAAAAATAAAAGTGTTCATCATCGGCTTGGGAAGCGGATTGTTGATCAAAACTGGGCTGATTATGAAAAAGAGAGTAATGAGGAAGAATATGTTTGGCAGGAAGGCCAATGGTGTCCATAGGGTCTGACAAGAAGCCAGAAAAGAAGAGTGCAATGCCTAAGAAACAGAGAACTAGAACAGGCTCAGGCATCTGGTAGACCTTAAGTGTGGCATGCTAAGCAAACAGCCGATAGGGGGCAACCGTCGGCTAATATTCAGATGGCTTTTCTATTGCCATCAGAATTCAAAGCTCCAGCGGATCAAGAAGTTTATTCAGATTTTGATGAATCAGAGTATGAGGAAATAGTTGTCAAGTTGACAGTTATACAGCAGGCTATATTCGATAAGCCAGTCAAGCATCGACACTTAAAGGCTTTATTGTAAAAGATTTTGTTGATGGGAAGCCGATGAACAAGATGTTGGTGGATGTAGGTGCTTCTGTCAATCTTATGCCTTACACCACTTTTTGTAAGTTTGGCAAGGAGCAAGGAGATTTGATTGAAACTGATATAATGCTTAAGGATTTTGGGGGTAATGCATCTAAGACCAGAGGGCAATAAACGTTGAATTGATAATTGGAAGTAAAACTTTGCTAACCACATTCTTTGTCATTGATGGAAAAGGGTCATACAGTTTAGTCCTTGGTCGTGATTGGATTCATGAAAACTGTTGTGTGCCGTCAACCATGTATCAGTGTTTGATTCAATGGCATGGAGATGATGTCGAGCTGGTTCGTGCTGATGAATCTATGAGTATCGCAACAGCCGATCCAGTATATTGGGACCAAGAAGACTTCGAGTGTTTTTCTGGCAAGCTGTGGGAAGGAGGCTTCATTAAGATCAGTAATGAAAGCCAACAGCCGATCCAAGCAGTCGGCTTTGAAAATTCATTTTAATGGATAATCCAATAGATGGTACAGATGGTAAACTAGGACATAACTTTATGTCGGCCGATGAATTAGAAGAGGTAGATATTGGTTCTAGAGATAGACCTAGGCCAACGTATATAAGTACCAAGTTAGAGACTGAGTATAAGCAAGAGTTAGTGGGTTTATTAAAGGAATTTAAAGATTATTTTGCTTGGGAATACTATGAGATGCCTGGTCTAGAACGATCGATTGTT